CCTCCAGTTGGTGTGGAAACTCTCAGAGGAGTGCTTATTACTGTGTAGCTTGAACTTAGCTGACCCAGAGTCAGTGCATGGTAGTTTGGCATTACCATGCCCCCAGACCACCTGTTGGTGACCTAGGTTGACTGTGGACATATCACAATGGCAAGTTTTAGGAGGCGTTGAGTGATTAGACTGATACTTATGCCCATAGGAGACATGTTCCCATTAATCTTCTCTTCGAAAAGGATGTGGGATTTTGAGAGAATTTTAAATGGGAGAAATTCGTAATGAAACTTGAGCTATCCACGCATACTCAGGTCTGACCCTGATCCCCCTCATAAGCCTACCTGCATGAGTGCCTGTGCCCCGGTTCTTAGCGTAGGGCTTGCTACCATGGCTGGGAATTGATCTTCTGAACATCCACCCATTTCTCCTGAGAGTCTGTCAGAAGCTCCATCCAATGTGTACTCTGCTCACCCTGTATGAAAGGCGGGACAAAATGTTTCCCCTTAAAGCTTAGCATCTATATTTACTAAAGAAATTAATACTCTACTAAAATAATAATTAAAAAAAAAATCTTTCTCTCAAATTGTTCACATAAAAAAGACAAATCACCCACTCTTTATCATGACATTTATACGGTAGGTGTTCAGGGAAAATATTTAGTTGGTGAATGGTGGGTTTTCTCCAATTTTGTAAAATTGGCTCTTATCTGCTTTTGCAAATGTACTCTTCAAATGCTCTGCCTACTAATTGACTAGGCCTAATTAGTGTGAATAAAAAGTCTAGAGTTTGACGTGACTAACGTTATCAGGCTGTCAGGTTTAAATCGAGTTGTTGTCTGCATGCGCTATAGTCCATGCATGTGTAGTCGGACAATAATGGGATATCATCAAACAACAGGCGGCGCCCTTCACAATTAACGGTGTCAAGTGACTGAACAAAAATAAAAACGGATAACGAAACCATTTCCCAATTCCTAAGCAAAAAAGAAAAACGGATAACGAAACCCACTTCCCCAATTCCTAAGCAAAAAGAAAAACGGATAACGAAACCAATTCCCATTTCCTAAGCAAAAAGAAAAACGGATAACGGACTTCGAGTCCAAAATCCATTCTCGACACTGGACAGCAAAACGGGTAACGAATAACGATTCCCATTTCCCTATTCGACAACCAAACGGAAAACGAATAACGATTCCCACTTTCCTATTCGACAGTTAAACGGATAACGAATAACGATTCCCATTTCTCGACTCGAAAGCAAAACGGAAAACGAATAACCGAGAAAGGAATTGACATTTCTCAATGCATGATGGGAAAATTCGGACTTCGAAACTTTTTCGCAACCCTGTCCCCAGGGTTAACTTTATGTCGTAACTTTCTTTCCTGTATTAAGTACCTGTCAGTGCGTACCGCTCAACACTACGTAAACGAGATTGTATTTGACACCGTTAATTGTGAAGAGCGCCACCTGTTGTTTGGTTTTCCCGATAATGTATGTGGCGGTGTCGTGCCAAAAACCGTCCGGTGCCAAATAGTGTCCGCTGAGCATGCGCAGTCGGCGCCAGACACTATTTGGCATGTAATACATGCCAAATAGTGTCCGATGCCAAATAGTGTCCGGGCGCCGTCGCACTAACACAAGGGCGCACGTACGTCCTGCCGGACACTTATTTGGCAGGAAAATCGCCGGCGGACAGTATTTTGCAAAGGTGAATCGGACAATATTTGGCAGGGCGGGGAATCAGACAGTATTTGTTGGCAGGAAAAATCGGACTATATTTGGCAGGAAAAATCAGACAATTTTTTTTGCAGGGAAAATCGGACAGTATTTTGCAAGGGGGAATCGGACAATATTTGGCAGGGGGAATCGGACAGTATTTAGCAGGAAAAATCGGACAGTATTTGGCAGGAAAATCGGACACTATTTGGCAGGGGGAATCGGATAGTATTTAGCAGGGAAAATCGGACAGTATTTGGCAGGGGGGTCGAACAGTATTTGGCAGGAAAAATCGGACAGTGTTTTGCAGCCGGGAAAAATCGGACAGTATTTTGCAGAAAAATCGGACAATATTCAGTGGCAGGGTGAATCGGACAATGATATTTGGCAGGGGGAATCGGATAGTATTTAGCAGGAAAAATCGGACAGTATTTGGCAGGAAAATCGGACAATATTCAGTGGCAGGGGGAATCAGACGATATTTGGCAGGGGGAATCGGACAGTATTTAGCAGGAAAAATCGGATATTTGTTTCGCAGGAAAATCGGACAATATTATTTTGGCAGGAAAAATCGTGCGTACTGCACTGCACGCCAAACAGGTGAACTGACGCGAAAAAAAAACCACAAACATTTTGCACAAATATAATTTTGTTTAAACTATTAGGGAAACCATGTAAATAGTTATCACAGATAACAAGGAAAACGTTAAAACAGATTGTAAAAAGCAAATTCAAGTGAAAGAAATCTTATCTATACGACGTCTTGACAGCTCGTAACAGCAAGGCACGCAATAGGATGCACGCTAAGCGCGGACACTATTTGGCAAGCTTCCGTAAACAATGTGACGTCATGGGCGCATGGCCAATCAGAGCGCATTATGCTAATTAGCGGACACTATTTGGCACCGGACGGTTTTTGGCACGACAGCGGTAGGCTAGGCCTGTACACCAAGCATGTTTTGTCAGGTAAGCCTGGACTATTTACTTGTCAAAATTCAACTTCCTTTCGGCGTACTGGAAAGATTCCCATATCTGGACATTACTCATTTCTCCCTTTAGTGATTTATGCCACAATTCCGGTTTAAAATGTCCAAAAATATTGGATTTAGCAGGGAAATTTGTTACCTAAAAACTATAGTCGGAGTCCCTTATCGCGGCATCCCTTTATCGCGGCATCCCTTTATCGCGGCATCCCTTTATCGCGGCATCCCTTTATCGCGGCATCCCTTTATCGCGGCATCCCTTTATCGCGGCATGGAAAATTTCTCCTTTTGTGTTGACTAAACTCCTTGAAGTGGCGATTTTTATCCAGGTCCTCCAGGCCATAAGGACTTACTGCCGAGTCGTATTTAAAAAAGGACGATTAAAAAATGTTGTTTTTTGGGACTTTTAACGATTTTTAATAAATATTTAGTCACATTTTCCAAAACCTGCAAATTTTCCCTCACCGTCATGACCGTGTCTGCTAAACCTAAAAGGTACCGTCTATTAATTTTAACATAAATCATTAATGGTGCTCCGTCCATGAAAGTTCCATTGTCTGGTTCCCCTTCTACAGCTGCAAACACAAAATGAAGTCGAATGACGATAATTCCACCGCGGAATCATAAAAACTTTTACGGGATCAAAATAAGGACAGCGCGTAAAAAAATAAAACGGCACACCGTGTAAAGTGAATGGCGCCCCCAAACACCAATCAGTAGACGTTGTCACAGTAATTTTTCTTCTCCTTTCGGGGAAGGGCAGGGTTTTAAGAAATCATCCTGCAGGGCTATAGTCTTTAATCAACTTAAACGTTACAGGGAAAATATCAGACTTTATTCAGGGGATGTTTTGGTAAAACATTCACTATGAAAAAAAAAGTTGAGATTATTATAAAAACCACAATTCCCATAATAGGGAGTCCACCTCCATTCGCACATTCCGAGCATGTCTATTTTCACAGGCATTTGAAAAGGAAGAGTTATACAACCTAAGAGACAGGACAATTCGGGAAGGTTAGCGGGCAATCTCCATTCCAAACAAGAAACGTGATAAGTACCGCGATAATACGGCGTTCCATCCTACATGCTTACTGCCACTGCCAGCATCCTACTGTCTGAAAAAACACCACGGAGACATTTCACTAAATGTCCAGAACTCCAGGTATGGAATCTTTCCGGAGTATTTTTTAACCCTAACCCACCTCGCTCCTCCAAAATCCTCCTGGCGGTTTTGGAGGATTCTAGAGGATTGAGGATGAATGGTGATTGAAGCACATGAGGATTCTAGAGGATTGAGGATGAATGGTGATTGAATCAAATGAGGATTCTAGAGGATTGAGGATAAATTGTGATTGAATCAAATGAGGATTCTAGAGGATTGAGGATGGTGATTGAATCAAATGAGGATTCTAGAGGATTGAGGATGAATGGTGATTGAAGCACATGAAGATTTTGGAGGATTGAGGATGAATGGTGATTGAAGCACATGAGGATTCTAGAGGATTGAGGATGAATGGTGATTGAAGCACATGAGGATTCTAGAGGATTGAGGATGAATGGTGATTGAATCAAATGAGGATTCTGGAGGATTGAGGATGAATGGTGATTGAATCAAATGAGGATTCTAGAGGATTGAGGATGAATGGTGATTGAATCAAATGAGGATTCTAGAGGATTGAGGATGCATGATTGAATCAAATGAGGATTCTAGAGGATTGAGGATGAATGGTGATTGAAGCACATAAAGATTTTGGAGGATTGAGGATGAATGCATTTTGTGGCAGGACTGTCTGATGATTTTGAAGGATTTGGCGTTGGTTATCCTTCATTTAAACACGAGTGCAAAATTGTGGGATGAGGAGGATTTTGGAGGATTGACGATGAATGCATTTTGAGGCAGGACTGTCTGACAATTTTGAAAAATTTAGGCGGAGTTGCAAAATTTTGGAGGATTGAGGATGGTTCCAAGCAAAGGGCCTAGGGGTTATTAATGTTTTAATTGCATACATTGTTAGACTTTCTTTTTATAGCTCCATGATTGTATAGTCATTCTTCCAGAACTGTAAGTGTAAGGGTTTTAAACTAAGTTCAGGAAGTATGGTCAGGCCCTACAGGCCCCATTTTTATCGTTTGTAAATTTGTCAATTTTTGGGAAATTGTTCTAAAATTTCACAGTAATTATTGTCAACCAAATTCTTCAAACAATGCATTTTCCAAAAATAGCAGATGAAAACAATATTTGAACTAAACCTTAAGAATTAGAAGGTAAAGATGTTAAAATAACTTGTTTTTCTTTGTTTCTTGAAGTTGACAGAGTTTGAAGGTTCTACCAAGGATGTCAACTGTGGAGCACATACAGGATGCAGAGCACAGTGATGACGTATCACCATGGCAACGCATACCGCTCAACATCACTTGAATGAGATTGTACCTGACACCGTTAATTGTAAAGAGCGCCACCTGTTGTTTGGTTATCGATCAACATTATGCAGCAGATAATGCAGCGGTAGGCTATATAGGCCTGTACGTCAGGTAAGTCTGGACTATTTATTTCTCAAAATTCAACTTCCTTTCGGCGTACTGGAAAGATTCCCATATATCTGGACATCACTAATTTTTCCCTACAGTGACCTATATCACCATTAAAAGGGATAATGTGTCCAAAAATGTCGGATTTATATCAGGGAAAAGTTGCTACCATGCCTACTGAGAAAACATGTCAAAGGACATTTCCTAGTCTTTGTTGGTCAGTGACGTCTGAGGTATGGGAGTCTTTCCAGAGTATTTTTGAATGCTTTGCATACATTGTTGGGTAAGACCTCTTTTTATAGCTCCATGATTGTATAGTCATATAGTCAGCAGGGCCAGGGCCTATTGTTTTTAGTTCACCGCACCTACCCCAATTAAGAACCCAGTATCAATGCACACATATAATGGTGTTCCCTAACGTGGCGCACTGCGACTTTTCTCCTGACTTTCCTCATGCACGGTTGCCAAACTTCTTTGTTGATAAACTTCAAATTCATTCAGTTGTTACTGGTAGGGCCTACTTTTTCAATAGTGTTTGCCATTTAACTACTAGTACTGTAAACAATTTCACTGTCATACAATTTTGAGCAAAATTTATAAACGGTGGCGTCCGGAAATTGGGCCAAAAATCAGCTTAGTGTTCCCTAACACAGCGCACTTGCGTAAATCTTGGAAAATTCCAGGTTAACACTAAAAAGGTTATTTAAAGTTAGCAAATTCTTAATTAATAAATGAATATATCTCTACTTTACCCAACTAGAAGTATGTTAGAACATTATTTTCTTATTTGTGGGTGAGTATATCAGTGGTGAGTTGAAGGTAGATTGTTTCTCGATGATAATTTGAGTTAGAAATATGATTCGGGTTTGTAACTTCAGGGGTTGCCCTTCAGGAAAATCAAGTTTGGATTGATTTGGGGGTCAAAAGGTCAAAGGTCAATGTCATTGGTCAAGGTCTAGGTCATTCCATTGACCAGTATTAACTATTGTACTACATGTACTTGTAATTTTGCACCTTATATCAACAAACTCAGGCCGAGGGGTTCCAACAGCACCGCTGTATTTTTTTAGGAAAGTTGCAGTAATGTTTATTGATTCATTTTATTTCATTAACAGCTTTGAAAATGGAGTTGAGGCCAGACAGACAGGGGGCATAGGACTGCATATTTGCTCTCAGGTAATTTTATCTAATGCATTTAGTGTTAAAAACTATTCGTTTTTGAACTTTTCTCCAAAAACCTGACAATATTTATTGCCAATCACCCTCTATTATTCAGGACCAATTTTTTTTTTGGAATTATTCTTGACCATTCTCTTTATTTGGTGAACAATTTTGACCATTGTCTGACTAAAGGCGTTTGCATGTTGATATTAGTGCTCAGGCATCAAATTACGTCAGGAATCGACCACTAGTCTCGCCCCAACTTGCTCATAGTTGTTTCTGTGGCATGGTTTAGCTGTATTTGTCCTTTTTTTGGGGGGGGGGGGGAAGTAGTGCAGGTGGGAAAATTATCAGAAAAACTAAGATGACATTTTTGTATGTTTACGTTTCTAGAGTTACTTCTACAACGACGATAGGTTCAACTACAACTATGCGCAGGCCAAAGCCACAGCAGGCAACTACAAGGAAGCACAGGAGGTAGGTTGGACTCCCAGACCCAATTTTCATTGTTGCGCCCTCAATAGTTGGCCAGTCATGGCGCAGTGACTCGTCATGGTGCCTGAACTAGTCATGGTGCCTTTCATTTGCAAACATCAAAAACCAAAACTACCAAGTTATTATGAAATACCTGACTGTTAGGGAATGATAGTCTCAAGCATCCTGTGAAATCACGGCACCTGGTGTGCTGTCATTTCCAAGAAAAGTGGGATTTTGTACCGATTTCCATCGATGGTCGGCCCTGTTTGAGAAAGAAGCCCGACTTTCTGTCTGTTCTCATCCATAAACTGTTGCCGTATACCTAGATGTAGAACAAAAAGATATTGCAATAGCTTGTTTTCCCACGTGCTGCATCTCTTTGGAATTCCTTGCCTGGTGCTTATTTCCCTCCAACCTATGATCTGTCCTGATTCAAGAGGAGTGTGGAGTGCTGTGGCCTCGTGGTTAAGGGCGTTGGATACGTGGTCTGCGGTAAAGCTGCAGGTTGTGGGTTCGAGTCCAGCCTGGGGTCATGGTGCGTGTGCCCTTGGGCAAGGCACTTTGTTACTCATTGCTTCTCCCCACCCAGGAGTAATAGGCTCTCAGCTTTGGTCCAAAAAATGGGCCACCGGTACCAGACGATCGAAAAGAGCAATGCTCATAGCGATTTTTTGAAAGGCACATCTAGAGATGGAGAATGTGTGATAGCTTTGCAGTGTGAGTGGTGGCAGTGTTATCACTTTTGATTTGTGTTTTCAAAATGGCCGTCAATATGCTTGAACCTGATAAATTGTATGTTGTAACAAGCATGTTTTGGCTGCCATTTAAAAAAAGAAAAAAAGGGATAGCACCCAAAAAGCTGCCACCGCTGCAATGCTGTCACATATTTTCTGACTATAGAGGGGTGCATACCTTGCCAAAAATCACAATGAGCATTATTCCCCTCATTTGATACTGACCAAACCCCCACACTGATGGCTTATAAGTGGGTGCCTATGAGGGCAGAGATGGTGTGGTTGATTTAGCTGCTTTGCTCCGACTTGTAGCCCTATATCTGGAGTGGCTTTTAGCCTTGTTCAGGGCAAATAGGCATAAAAAAAAAACAAGTCTAAAACCCGGATGGGGATCTTTCTGTGCCTCCTAGACCACTGTTTTGGTGGGAACACTTGGTTTTACCATGATTTAATTGGAGTGGGTTTCGTTTCTCTTGTTTTCCAGATTTTTGTGCTCATTCAGAGTGAGAAGATCAAGAATGACTACACGTGTCTCTGGTTGGCAAGATGCTGTGAGTATTACCGTCAATTGTGAATGACGTTTCCTCTTCCAACTTCCAAGTTGCTAATGATGGGAATGAATCCACCTGTTAAGCCTCAACTCATAATGTATTGACCACTCACAATTGTGACTGCACAACCAAATGTCCAACTAAAGTCACGACACGTCGCGTGCATGCATTTCATGTACTGCTGGAAAATCCAGAGTGGCATTAGGGAGATGCACATGTTGCCCATGTGTGAGGTAGACTGAAGGGTCTCTAACAATGACATAACCAGCATGCAATCAACGCCCTGATCGTATATTAAGGACGTGACTTTGCGTTTCATTGTGTAAATGTTAAGCAAATATTTTAAGAACCGTTTTAAACGTTTAGCCATTGACAGTGGCTTTTGCCTACCCATTATGTCTGATCTGCAGACCGGCGTGATTGACATGATAAATCAACAATGGATGACATAGTAAATAGCAGGCAGTCGTTGATAAAGTAAAAATGTAACTACGTGTTCCCCAAATGTAATCAAGTACTACGGTGCTTCTAAGGTTTTGTAAATTAAGTAGGTTTTAAATCTGTGTTAATTATTTGTGCTATGTGTGGTTATCTCCAAGGAAGATCGCGTGAACGGAGGTCCCGTTTGTATAATTTGGGTTTAGTTTAAATGTTTTGAAAAATTTGTAAGCGGATTTAAAAGTTTTTTTGGTTTAAACGTGTAAACTTTACATCTTAGTCGTACATTTGTCATGTTGGATTTGTTCTATCACATTTCAAGCAGATTGTACGACAGAAATTTGCTACATTGAACATCCCTCTTGGCTCCCAAATATTGTACACAGTTACACTGAGCATTGCTGGCCGAAAATTGCTGAAACGAGCATCCACTGAACCGAACATCTTTTGTGGACCCCAATGTGTTTTCTGACAGCAGTATCCTATGTATTTATAACCTTTCTTTGTGTTGTTTTCGTTGTTCAGACATCGTGAATCGTAAGGCCAGACTAGCCTGGGAGTTGTACCTTAAGATGGAGACGTCTGGCGAATCGTCCAGCCTGCTGTAGCTCATTGCCAACAACGGCTACAAGGTAAAACATCATCCCCTATTTTTGTCCGTTGCATATTTGGTATAGATTTTGGAATTCACCCCAAATTAGTATCCAGTCACTCAATCTAAACCTGCAACCGATTTCACGAAATACATTCGTCACTTCGTCCAAAGAATGCAGTATCTAGACGCCACTTCAGCGGTTGTGTGCAAAGTCTACGGAGAGTCAAGAAAACTTTCCAAGTATTTCTGAACAAAATTGGAAATGTTTCTGCAGATTCGTGTTTGTGAAACATTTTTGCAATAACTCATCTTTATTGAGGTGATGTGTGAAGACAAAAGTGGCGTCTGATTGCAACATTGTTTTCACGTGTAAAATCAACGAGAATACGAACCCCCGTCAAAAAAGAAAAAAAGAAAGATTTGTTGCACATTTACGACTTTGTGTCATTAGCTTGAATAATGAAGGATGCACTTTTGTGTCACAAACTTTGGTAAGCATGTAGAAGGCATCATAAAATATTAGAATAGCCAAAAATCCCAACTGCTTAAAAAATTGATTTGGGACAAATTCATCACTTTGTCAACACGGTGGCGATATGATCGAAAACTTCAGGCTTTTTGTTTGAACTTCTGATGTTTTTTGCTCGACCTCAACATATAATTGTCACGGTCTCTCGATCCTCAAATCTCATCTTTTCTATCGGTAGATGGCCAGTTCTACTATGCGACCAAGGCTTTCGGTGTCCTGGAAAGATTGGACCCCAATCCTGAATACTGGGAAGGCAAGCGAGGGGCGTGCGTGGGCGTATTCCAGCAGATCATAGCTGGTCATGAACCAAGGTGGGTGTCATCTCTGTCAATCAGCAGTGCACACTGACCAATTAGATCTCAACCTTTGGTCAGGTGACCACAGTACATCTATCAAACAGTGTGCACTGACATATCACTCCGGTGCTCTACCAACTGAGCTATCCAGCCCAATGTTGGCGGTTCCCTAATTGTCAATGTCTCTGTCAAAGGGGCTCTAGTCAGAAGCCCTCAACCCGCATATGCCATGCAGCCAGGGATCACGCCCAAAGTCACGATGCAGACCTGGCAAATATCAAACGGGGATCACTCAGAGAGGATACGGCTTTTTATTACAAATCTTCATGAATACTTCTCAACTTCTTAGCCCTCTAGTTCAAATTCATTGATCTTTATGGATTTTTCCTTTTTCCCCCTAAATTCTATAAACAGCTTTCATTTTCACTATTAGGTTTTGCCCTTCACTGACGTATAAACACTGTATACTCAGTGCTTTACCTCCCGAGTTAAAGTTGAAAAAATTACTCGGTTGGGACTCGAACCCATGACCTCCTGCTTGTTAGTGCAGACGTCTTAACCACTGGACCATCAAGCTTACAGAATTGGTTGCCTAGCCAGCCAACCAACCCCGTAAGCTCCATGGTCGAGTCGTGGGTTCGAATCCCACCCAAGTGATTATTTTCCCAACTTTCACTCAGGAGGTAACACACCGAGTATACAGTGTTTATACATCGGTGAAGGGCAAATCCTAACATTGATTTACATCACCCCGACGCAAAGTCCATCTTGTTAATAGCTTTCATTTTCATGTGCACAAAACCCAGTGAAGTTCAAGCCACTAGATTTGTGTCATTTTTTTTTCCTCTACAGAGAAACACTGCGAGACATCCTCCAAATCTTGCGCAACACCGGTAACCCGCAGGTGGAATACATCATCTGTGTCATGAAGAAGTGGGCCAAGGACAACAGGGCACCAGTTTCCTGAGGTGGTCCCTATCCTATAGTCTTGAGATTGTTTAAATGTGTACATTCCAAAAACCCCTGCTTGCAAAGGGATTTTCCAGAAATAAAATAATGGAACGATACTGTTGATTAGGGGTGATTTAATTATTCTTGACGCATGGGAAATTTGCCTTGAAATATTTCTTTATTTAGCTTTGGCAAGATGGTTATGCAGGAGAAAACAACAGTTCTGGAGAGAGGCTAGTCTCTCATGGCATAAACAAAGTAGGCTTGCCTAGTTAAGCTGGACTCTGTGACTCAGTCAGTGACTTGGTCAGTGACTCAGTCAACAACTCAGTGACTCGATCAGCGACTCCGTGATTCAGTCAGTGACTCAGTCAGTGACTCAGTCAACAACTCAGTGACTCGATCAGCGACTCCATGATTCAGTCAGATTCGGTCAGTGACTCAGTCAGTGACTCAGTGAGCGACTCAGTGACTCGATCAGCGACTCAGTGATTCAGTCAGTGACTCAGTCATTGATTCGGTCAGCGACTCGGTTAAGGAATCACTCAGTGACTCATTGAGCGACTCAGTGGCTGTCATCAACTCAGTGTCTTGGTCAGTGACTCATCGCGCAGTCAGTGATTCGGTCAGTGACTCGGTCAGTCAGTGATAATAGTGACTGACTCGATCAGTTAATACTCAGTGACTCGGTCAGACAGTCAGTCAGGCAGCATTGAAATGTTCATCATAATTATGAATGTTCACGTCACAAATGTTGCTTACATGTAGGACAACTCTGCAAGTTTGTTTTCTTGGAGTTTCTGGGGCATGTTTAGAGACAACCCAACGGCATGAGAATGGGCCAGGAATGGTTATTCAAGGAGGGGGGTAGTCATCTGTACGTAATGTAATTATACTAATTAATGGTTTATATTGATATAAATATACATGTACAAGTTTTCAGAGCACGTTTGTCAGGTAATTAGGGTGTAAGGTCCAGATGGCAGGAAACAAATTGAAAATAAGTGATTTGAACCGAGCCCAATTTCATAGCGCTGCTTAGCACACAATTTCTGCCAGCAGAGCCTCTCCGTCTATATTACTGAGACTGTAAGCAGTAAACAAAAGGCATGCTAATACCTCAGAGAAACAATTTGCTTAACTTACCGTAAGCAGTAAACACAGCAATAGGGACGCTAATACCTCAGAGGAACAATTTTCTTAACTTACCGTAAGCAGTAAACACAGCAATAGGGACGCTAATACCTTAGAGAAACAATTTGCTTAACTTATCATAAGCAGTAAACACAGCAAAAGGGACGCTAATACCTCAGAGGAACAATTTGCTTAGCTTTTGACGTAACAATGTACATGTAGATCTCAATGCGTGCTGAACCGTTAGCACATCCACGCCATGAGTGCTTAAGGATGGTACAGTTCTGCTGTAGTAATATGAGCACAGCTTTTCTGGTAACTGTTAAGCAGCGCCATGCAATTGGGCCCAGGTTGTATTCAAGTCCCGAGTCCGCACAAATCCTTGAAAGTCAATCTTGTCATCCATGTCCCAAGTCAGTTTCAGAAATTTCAATCCAACAGAATCTTTCTCAAAGGCAATCTATCACATTGTCAATACTATATTTTTTTTCATGTACAATATTGGGAAAGAATGTTGCAACCTGATGCTGCTTTTTCTTCATATCATCTCAATGAAGTCATCCATTGCAAAAATGATGGTGGGTCATTCCATGTCAGACCAACGCACTTTTTTACCTCATGTCTTCCGATTTTGATTAAAATTGCTGTGCTTGTAGGTCCTAATGAGCAATGAATACACACCAATTTTTAGCCCGATCCGACCTACCATGTGGTCAGGGCAGAAGCCACAAAAAATGGCATTTTTAGAGTAAAATACCACCCTTTTGGTATAAATATGTCAAAACTATGGCAATTTTCATCGAATATATGTGAATTTGGTATTAAAATAATGAGGATTGCATGCTCAAAGCACTTCTTTTGTCAAAATTATATTTTGTGAAAAGTAGGTCACATGACCTTTAATATGCTATCGTGACCTTTGACCCATTTTTTGTAATAATGTTTCATTCCAAAAATCAACGAAATCAAAATAACTTGCTAGAGCATGTCTTCCTCTATCAGAATCTACTAAACATCAGTTGGGGTCTTCAAAATTTACAACTTTATGACTATTTTTGTACAGTTGGTAGGTTACAAATGAGTCAATTTATAGACTTTACATAAGAAATACACCAACACAACTTACTATTCTGTTTCTAAAGTTACTAAAATATATCTTGGTTTGTGAATTTCTCATTCTGAGGGCTGATGAGGTCTAACCAGACTCATAGTGTAGATTATCAGCAGTGGCGCACCCAGGATTTGGCTTTTGGTGGGGGGGGGGGTCATAAATCGTTTTTTTGTTCAAATTTCTGTTAAAGATTGGACCAACAAAAACTAGCCTAAAATCAAACAAACAAATTGACAATGTTGGGGGTATGTTCAAGCCCCCCCCCCTCCTGGGTGCCACTGATAATTAGTTATCCCACGAACGCGCTTGGAATATGAAATAATGCAATGCTGCTGTGACCCATATGCCACTCGATGCACTACATAATTCCGTGTTCCACGAGCGCAAGTGGGATTTATAACCAATTTATCTTCAAGCAAACTTGATATCAAATGCGTACACGCGGTGAAGATGATATGTACGTGCATACATGTACTGTTTTGGTCCGTTCTGCAGGAAATAACACAACATATGTACACGTACATTTCTAATATCTGGGGTGCAATATAGCTGTGCAATATTAAAATCACACAGTTGTTGCTATAGATGGACTAATCAGGGTCTAGGATTCAAGTTTGCTTGAAGATATACTTAATATTACAATCAAAGTTACCTTTACTCATTCATCACTGTGCTTCTTGAACTTTAATGACTCTCACAGACTTGGCATTTTGTTTCTTTGAGATGAATTTCACCTGGACGTGAGTCCGCTGTACTGGGTGAAGGCCTGGTAACTGTTAGTGGTTAGCACACTTCCGAGTCCAGATATTCTGATTAGACAGTTTCTTTGGAATCAGAAGGTAGAATTTTGTTTTTCCTGGCTTTGTACTTTATACATAAAAATCTAGATTAATTTTAGTAACTTAAGAAACAGAATAGTAAGTTGTGTTGGTGTATTTCTTATGTAAAGTCTATAAATTGACTCATTTGTAACCTACCAACTGTACAAAAGTAGTCATAAAGTTGTAAATTTTGAAGACCCCAACTGATTTTTAGTAGATTCTGATAGAGGAAGACATGCTCTAGCAAGTTATTTTGATTTCGTTGATTTTCGGAATGATACATTATTACAAAAATTTGGTCAAAGGTCACGATAGCATATTAAAGGTCACATGACCTACTTTTCACAAAATATAATTTTGACAAAAGAAGTGCTTTGAGCATGCAATCCTCATTATTTTAATACCAAATCCACATATATTCGATGAAAATTGCCAAAGTTTTGACATATTTATACCAAAAGGGTGGTATTTTACTCTAAAAATGCCATTTTTTGTGGCTTCTGCCCTGACCACATGGTAGGTCGGATCGGGCTAAAAATTGGTGAGTATTCATTGCTCATTAGGACCTACAAGCACAGCGATTTTTATTAAAATCGGAAGACATGAGGTAAAAAAGTGCGTTGGTCTGACATGGAATGACCCTGGTAGGACATGAATCTGGGACTGAGAAATACTTTTTTTCTTGACGCTCCATAGACTTTGCACACAACCGCTGAACTGGCGTCTGGTTGCAACATTCTTTTCCAATATTGTGTGATATTCTGACTTCATTTCTTTATTTCATCTGTAAAAACATTAAATGTTTACTGCCTTTCTTTAAAGGGAAGATACAACATTTGCAAACATCACAAAACGAAATGATCAAATTATCGCGAAATACCTTACTGGATTGTTGGGGAATGACAGTCTAAAGCATACTGTAAAATTGTGGCTCCTGATGTGCTGACATTTTAAAGAAAAATGGTACTTTTCCAACGCTGGTCAGCCGACAAGCATTGGAGAAAACTGGCTATTTTTCAAAAATTGCTCCCAATTTTTTTATAATTAGTTATTCCGCATTTTCTTTGCAATTGATTATACACCTGTGAAGAGGTATAAGTCTGCTAGACTGATTCTCTGACCTTACAATTCCCCAAAGTCTATTAATTGCTCCGTTTTATCTTAAAAGTGGGGTCACCAGACTGCAAATACATGTCTGGTTTTCTTGGCTTTTCCAGCATCTACAAGCCCAAACGTGAAAAAAGTCATTTTAACAATATTTGCTAAAACATACTAATCCTCCAAATCCATTTATTTCTGAAAATTGCAGCGAAAGCAAATGTTGTACATGCCCTTTAAGTCCGATAATCTTATCTTGCAGTGTCAATATTGTGTAGGTGAATTTTAAAAGTAAATGTGTACTTAAAATGTTGTTGAAATGCTGTGCATAGTTCTTTGAATAAAGGGATATTAAATCATCACAATAAATAAAAGTGAAAAAAAAATACCTGTTTGTTATTGATTTGTTTGTTTTCTTGGTAGTTTGTTTGGGATTCTGAAAACAAAACTTCAGTTTATTTAAAAGATAAGTTCAGTAAATTTATGTTTGGGCATGGAGCTATAAAAAGTTGGGAAGGTAGAAAAAAAAAAAGAATAATATAATTATGGTGGGACTCGAACCTGAGTCGCCTGATTGAGAGTCCTACGCCGGTCCACAAGACCATTAACGCACTCAAATGTTATACTAGTTCTGCTTAATTACAATTGTAAGATAGGCTTATCGTGGCTTTTCACGTTGGCGCCCATGCACGCTTAGACGTAAAACACAGTCTGACGATGTAAAACATTCGTTAGATTTTGGGTGTAGCTGTTCTAACTGATCTAAATTTAATTGGAAAAGGGTAAAGGGTGTCGACTGAACTAAAATCCTGAAATTCAATGAAATAAAACTCGTACAATCCTTGGTTTCAGTACGAAACACACGTGTTCAACGGATGCAGAGAAGCCTATTTCTTTTGTTAAATTCCTTTGTTGAATCTGGCGTTAACAATAAAATGTTTCCATTGAGGCGAAAGGATTAAACGCCGCGATCTTTTTTCACGC